TGACGAAAGCAATGTATCTATCTTGGAATGCCAAAGAATGTGTATGGAAAGTGACGAGAAGTTTCGTCATTGTTTTATGTTATAAAAATATTGTCGAAAATCATCCTTACTTTAATGTTTTACTTAAGGCAATCTCTTTAAAGAACGATCAAAAACGCGGTGATTCTTTCGAGAAGCTATTAGTAAGTTGCCAAACAACACGAACAGTAATCGAACGATGAAAATTGGAAGATCATTCTTTGCACAAAGAAACGTTGAAATTATTGTAAACAGGCACAGATTTAGTTTCTGCGCTCGATGCACCCGACAACGAATTTAGTCTGTAACAAAGTGCAATAATAATACAGAACACAATTTCGAGTAAAGTGCCGAGCGTCTGCTGTGCCGTGTACTCGAAGCGCATGAACAATCAATCAAGCATTGTCGAGAATGATTGATAAATACGCGTGATCGCTCATAGGTCACATTAAACGTTCGCCCGTCATGTATGTACAACTGCAGCGCCTTACTCGCCATTTCAAAATCCTGCGAGTCTTTTTGCACGCGCGCGACAATTAATTAAGTACAGTAAATTCGCCCTAATCGACGCTCGGCTTGGAAAGAAAAATGGACAATTTGGTAAGAGGAGATACGATTATTCGAGCCTTGCGACTCGTTTTTATAGTTACCGATTATCAACAACTATAAAAGCGAGTCGCAAGGCTCGAATAATAATATATAATAATATATTATTATTAACTGCATTAATTATTATGGTTATGTCCAAATAATTTACCAGTGCTCCTGGCCCTGTGTATTCAAAGTTAAATTTCATGCATCACGAGAAGACCTCGCGTAGCGAACTATAAATTCTGATCGCGGGTTTGGTATCGCATTCCTCGAAAAATTGCGTTCGCCGTGACCCGCGGCGGGGGCCAAGAGAATCTATGTTTCATCGGATGTGATCCACGTGTGCGCGGCCACTCGTGGTTACAATATTTTTNAAATAGAGTAATAATATACATATAATAATATATTATTATTATATAATAATAACAATTCCCAAATTGTCCATTTCCGTGCACGATCTGAGCGTTTCATGTTTTTTTTATATTTATCAGCATGTGTTACCGTTTGTTGTTCCTTGTTTTGTTCGATTCATTTCGTTCGCGTGTGTAAACTATTCTCGATACTATTTTCTATTCAAGAAATAGCTTATCGCCCTCGTTATTTTTCCGCTCCCGGTTCGGAGGCGCGGATTTCGAGGCTTGCATACGAAAAAAATATTGTAACCACGAGTGGCCGCGCACACGTGGATCACATCCGATGAAACATAGATTCTCTTGGCCCCCGCCGCGGGTCACGGCGAACGCAATTTTTCGAGGAATGCGATACCAAACCCGCGACCAGAATTTATAGTTCGCTACGCGAGGTCTTCTCGTGATGCATGAAATTTAACTTTGAATACGCAGGACCAGGAGCACTGGTAAATTATCTGGACATAACCATAATTACTCGAGGCTATATGAAAACGGAAAAAATATCGAAAATAATATCGTGAAATTTGTTTAAGACCTTTTAATGCAGTTTTGAAGCGCGCTCGGACTTCGAAAGCTTTGTAAAGTCTTCGTTAAAAATGCGGAACTCGCTAAACTCCAGTTTCTGCAAAATAACCGAAAGATGATGTAATATTATAACCTTTGTTCGATCAGATTTTAGAAAGAAGATTTAAAATTAATATAATATTTTAGGAATGAAATTCTGCACTTTATTGCATCAATCAGTGTGTGCAATTGTATGCAATTAGTGTTCTTCGTCCATCGTACTAATGTACCAATCGATTAGTAAGTCTCATCCGCCCTTATGTCAATTTGACATAGTTATCACGAATACTAACAAAATAATGTATAGATCGTTTTGTGTTATTTGCAAGCAACGCGAATAATCGAAACTTATCTCGCATCATCTTGAGTTTTCATTCGCAAGAAAAGCATTTACGAATGTTACTTACTTATCGATCTATCTTATTAATTTTGTATCATTGTGTCGACTTGATATCTCCGGACAGATTAATTTTAATCTGTCTAATTGTTTTGAAAATTTTTAATTGCTTCACGTACGAGATATCCATAATGTTATAGGTGAAATGACTCGTGGAAACGGCGAATTAATAGCAAGTACATATTGCCGAATTGATCTTTGATTATGATAGCATGCCTTATTCTATGTGATTAAGGCAGTCCAATATCGCACGCAATAATTGCAATCAATAGACGTTCCAAGATTTATAGCCGATGGATGTGGACAGGTACCAGATATATGTATTGACCATGACAGATGTGTACGTTCGAACCTATGAATTTCCGTAGGTAACGCGCAAGCGATGACATTAATAGGAAATTCAATATTCTCCATCGTTCGCTGTGCAAAATTGTGTTAGAAGTAGTTGAGGTGATCACATAGTTTACAGAGTCATGCTCGCTGAACAAGGATACGTGGCAGTAAAAACTTCGATCGATCACCTTCGAAAAACAATTTCAATTAACACATTAAAGGCGGGAGTCGTAGTACTACGATTTATCTCGACTTCTCATAAATATGTACTTTAAAACATTTTTTGTAATTAGTGTTTAGTTCTTTTTTAATATTTCTTTTAGTTTTAAGAGTTTAAATAAATTTTTTTAAGTCTAAATTTTTTATGATTACACGAAATATCGCCCGCTCTAGGACGAAAAACGAGGCGGGGCGGTCGCCGCGTTACCTAGCATACTTTCCTCAGGATCCCCCGCCTTTAATGTGTTAATTTAGAAACGTGTAATTCTCCGTATTTAAAAAGTAACAAGTCTGATTCGTTGGAAAATATTCCATTACAAAAATCTCGTATGGAAGAATGAATTAATTTTATTATGTTTATAATATGAACCATAGAAACATTCAAACTTCTTCCATATGTAATACTTTCATGACAGATCATTTCCCTAGAATAATTTTGAATTGGTAAATGCGTTCTTTAGTATTTCAAGATGAATAGTATGCTTTTAATACACCGTGTAACTGAAAAATATTTTATCCATGATAATACTTCCATTCTGAAGAGCAAATAAAATAAAATGTGATACAGGCTGCTGTTAGAAACGTTTCTAATTGTTCTTTCATTGTTCCATACGTATACAAATAAATTGTATGGTCGTGCATTTATAAACCAATTCACAAAAATACTTTCAGTGCAGTAAAACTATTTTGTTAGTTTCAGTGACGATATTGTTTTAATTCGAATAACGGATCATTACAATTTGCATAATATGTGGTCTTTTCCGAATATCAGACTTCCAGAAATTCCCATTTCAACGCTTTGCACTCAAAGCCAAATTAATACAAAATTTAAAATAGTTTTTCTGGCCCATTTTCATTTGATATAATCTAATGCATTTTGTACATACGAAATTGAATTTTGTGACTCGGGCAACAGTTACGCTTTCAACAGTTCTTTAAATATAAACAAAAAAGATTAATCAAATTATCTGGGAACGTAACGTAACAGTTTGGGAGTAGTCGGTCGAGTGCAAAGGATTAATGCTAAACCGAAAGAAAACAATTCACGGGAAAACTACTAAAAGAGAACGTATGCAAAGTGATAATTCATCACACGATGAAAAAGAAATTAGTCTAAATGATGAAAGTAATTATGAAGAAAATTATAACGTCGAATGATAAACAACGGGTTCAATATACAAAGCGTTAGCGATGGGCCCACGAAGACTGTGGTGTTGAAGAAGCAAATTTTATATACCCAATATGTGAAAGAAAGCAAAAAGAAAATAATTTTCCTGAGACAGCCAAACTGGGTCTCATGTTAGGAACCCATTACTCAAATCTGTGAATTTGAGTACTTTTAGTTTTTCCTTTATTACAAAGAAGTAGATTTTTTCTGTATTTTCCAGTAGATTGTAAAAGAATGATCTGTTGTTAATAAGAGTGTTTTTAACCAAAAATTGTGATTTAAACAAGAAATGGATCTCATATAAGGCGCCCTATATGTACTGCTTGACTAGTTGTCACAGATACAATCCAGTATTTTCAGGATTCGGTCAATATACCATTCGGTATAACTACTCGGTTGCAACTCGGTAAACGCTCCCTGCCAATGTTCTTTCTTCGCAAAATTAGACATTCCCGTCTCATAGAGACCCGGAGTCCAGCCGTTTTATCCAGACGACGAAAATGGGGCGAAGCTCCAGCGGAATAATTTGCAGTTTTCACGAACTGCGGAGTAAAGAGGATAAGTTCGGAAGTGGCGGTGCTCACATAAGTTAGTTAAAGTTAAGTTGTTCAGAGGGAAAATTTGTTTTTGTAAGTAGGTGAAAGTTGGGCATAAAATGCGCTCTATAACGATCTACGACAAGTTAGGAATTCTTAGGAGATTTTAATACACACGCCGTCTCTCGCCTCCTCCTGACGCCTTTATACTTCCCAAGGCGCACCAAATTATTTTACCGTCTGACACGACGCCACGCCGTTGTGTGCACGATACCTCTCTTCCTTTGTCATTTCTAAACATTTCTCGCCGGGTCACGATGAACCTGTCGAGAGTTCCCGTCTACGAGAGAACGTAAGAAACTTGGTAAATTAAATGTCTGAGAAATTCGCGTGTGAAGGTCTTCCCGTGATTACAATATCGTTCGGAATTGTTCGCACGATATTAACAACTTGCTTGCTGCAATCTCAAAATTCCATGGACCTATAAAGTTGTGCACGAGAGTCTTCGACAACTCCGTTTGTTCCCCGTGTGTGTAACTCGACAGTGAAATTTATGATTTATGCTTGGTGTTAGCCGAGCAATAATTACCCGGGAAAAGAAAGTAAAATAGAACATTTCGCGGGGGAAGAACGTAACGAGAACGTCGGTGTTCTACAAAAACAGATAATTGAGGAAGTTGCAGCTGTCGACGGGGAGACCGTTGCCCTCCTCGTTGTTGTTTCTTATCAAACTTATACGGAACACGATCCGTTTCTTTTTCCAGTGAAGCCACTGGTCGTACAGATTTTGACGAAGGAGCCTCGAGTTTCCGCTGACAAGAACTACGACGTGGAGTGCTGGACAAATGGTTCCAGGCCAAATGCGGTAATTACATGGTGGAAGGCGAACGAACAGATTAAGACAATGGTAAAGAATGTAAGTCACGTCAATATATGGCTGAAAGCCATTTCATTTTTGTAAACGTTATTATGCCGCGATAGTTCAACGTATAATTTTTCTCGTCTAACCAATAGACTCGTCTCAAGCTATCACAAGCCTAAGCATTTTTCGCATAAAATTGAAAAACATTCAGCAATTGTACGTTACTAAAGCAATGTTTGAAATTGTATTATTTATGAAATATATAATTGAGTTCTATAAGACCTGGAAATAGCTTCATGAGCTCATTAACGGACAAGCTATACTCCAAGTTTTAACTTCTGCTGTCATTTGTTACTAACTATCTTAAAAATCGCCCAATCGTTTACGTGAACGTATCATATTTTTTTTGGAAAGCAAATCAATTTTTTATTTTATAACTTATGTCTTTCGTTTAAATATTTTCCAATGAAATTTTGTACAAACAATTGCTGCAGTGATCTTAGATGTCTACGTGGGGATCATTTTTTAAAGTGTGTCGAACGAGCCTTATTTTTAGCGAGAAAATGTGTTCATTTAAGTGCCGTAATGTTAAGTGCCGTTACGTTTCTTTTGATACGGAGATTTAAGGATGTCAGAAAGCAATAAAGTTTAAAGTTTTGTCTCGATCTGGCAAATATAAAATTCTACTTTGCCCCGTTTTCACTGTATCTGTCCATAAAAATGGGGATTTGCATGAGCATCAGCAGTCTGATCATAACAATAAGACGTCGTTGAAGCGAATATACGGTGGCACGGTGTAATGTAACGGCCGAACGCTTTTAACAAACCGTATCAGAATTCTGTGGGCATGGACTCGCTAAATATTGACCAAGGCTGAAAGAATATATAGGGTGTGCCGTTAATGACGGTTCCATCTAGGCATCGAGTAATTCCCCGAAAAAATAAATAAATCGGAAATACGAACGTACAATGGTCACGAGATGGGCGCTGAAATGTGTCTTGTTTTCCCTTCGGTTAATGGTGTTGTGTTATTTAATTATTAATTAACGCATTAACGACTGCATGCTCGTTCTTTTACGTTTCACCGTCATTGCTTTCAAACGATGAAATTAATCAATCATTTTAATCGCTCTCGCGATCTTTTTAGCAACGATCCGCTACCATAAACTCACTTTTCCACCGCTCTCGTTCATTTAATAATGCCCGTGGTTTAATATTTCCAGTTTTGGTTCAGGATTCATTTACTCGTCGTTGAACATAATTAGCAGATTGTGCAAGAAAATCATTTTACGTTCCACTTAACTGATGTTATTTTAAATCTTGTTGTTTCTTCGCGAGCTCAACGGTGATAATTTTGATCGGTGACGAAGAAACTTTTGAAGATTATCATTGAAAAGAAAATTACTGAGATTCTTTCTGGCAGAGTAATTGAGAATTAATAGATTTCCGGTAGTTAAGGTGTGTTGATACGTATTTAAGAAGAGTTGACGCCGATTCATCGGTTAATTGCAATCAGTCATGCAGTCAGTTAATTGTCCCTGCAGTCGGCCAGATTCTACGCCGTCCCCAACCCTATTCCCATCAACCTGACACCTTCTTTTCAGCTGACGGAGGAAGTGTTCCTTGACGAATCCGCAGAACACTCCCCTCTTACACGATGCCCGATAAATTGCGGAAGACCTATCTTTCCTTTCTGGCGATCGAGCTTTTTCCGCTGTTATATCGGGAACGGGTTCCCGGAGCGTTCAGTCGCCGGTTTACTTTGTCTTCGTAATCGCTGTGTGCAGTGTGAAAAACAAATCCCGCTCCTATATCTCGTCGGTCTCCTTATCTATATGCTTTTGAACCGGCCGGTGGCAAGGAAAATCCGGAAACAATGAAACTCGATTATCGGGTATCCATTAATTTTCGACGGGAGGGCATTTACTTGTTCGAATCGGGGGAAATTTAGAATGTGTGGCTAATAGTTTCGTATCGTTTATTTCGGGCCGTTAGAACTTTTTGGTGGCGGAAATACTGGAGAATCAGTTCCTCCGCTTGCGTCTGGCTGAATTTAACGTGGCTATTACGTTCGAGAGAAAAGAGGAGCGAGAATTTGCCAAGCGGATGCGAAACAAAAATATTTCGTATATGCTTCGAAGATTTTAGCATAACGTTACAACATGAAGATTTATCTCCGATAAATATGACCCTCTGTTAACCCGTTAAGACTAAAACTACCGGGTCCTAAAAGCGACTAATATACATGGTATCCCAAAAAGTGTCTCGCAATCCGGAAACGGGGGATACCTGAGGTCATTTGAAGTAACTTTTTCCGTAGAGAAAATACAATCCGCGGCCCTGTTCACGTGTTATTAACGAAAAACAGCGACCAATGAGAAACCGGATCAGCTGACGCGAGACGGCCGAGCTAATGAGCGGAACTGGGCTCCGTGCAGCCGAGCTCGCCTCTTATTGGTCAGTATTTCTCGCTAATAACTTGTAAACGAAGCCGCGGTTTGCACTTTCGCTAAGGAAAAAGTTGCTTCAAATGATCTCAGGAACTTCCCATTTCCGGATTGCAAGACATTTTTGGGACACCCTGTATAACAATGCCAACTATGACAATGCCAGCACTGAATTTACTTACACTTCGTATGGTTTGTATTATAAATACTGACAAAGATAATGTGGAGCTAGGAAATTTTGCATATACGGTTGAACGACCGTGAAATCAAACAGTAAACAAAATTATCTGTCTCACCGTATCTTCCTTACTTATTACGAACCGAACAAAGGAGAATGAGAAACTCGCAGTCTGGAATCGCAACTGTTTCTACGTACGCGTACGGTCGCAGACGACAAAAAGCACGCGTAATCGTTCGGATGTTCCGCGATCTCGCGTTGTCCACCAATTCGGCGGCCGTTGAAAAGAAGGAATGATAAACAGACGAAGTGCGCGGCGCGCCCGGAGGTATTATAAATAGCCGAGGCATCGCGAAGAGTGCCTGCCCGGGCTCGATTTGATTTATTTTGCATTCCTCTCGAAAGGGAGGCTCGCAATTTCTGCGTGGCTAACTTTCGGCCTGTGCACACATCCACCGGCGTAATCGGGACGGTACTCCGTATACAATCTCCCGGCAGGATATATTGACGGTACTGTTGGACTGTCCGAAGAGCTTTATCGGGAAATTCGATCGCGTCCCAACGAAGCGAACCGAAAGCGGTATGCAGTGAAGCTTGGCCGAAGGGGGTACAGGGGGGGAGGCTGGTTGAAATGAGGGAGAAAGAGGTGGGCCGGGCAAGAGAGACGAAAAGTGAACGACAGAGGAGGAACGTCGAAAATCAAAGAGCCGTGGGACGAAGAGGGAAAAAGACGCGACGACGTTGCAGCGGGAAAGTCGAGGAGGGATTCATGATGCGACATTCATTCTGACGAACCGTTAGTTCCATTCATGGTATTCGCGATACTGATGTGGATACGTGGTTTTTTCTCTCGCCCGCCCCCCCCCCCCCCCCCCTCCCCTACGCCCCCGATATGTATGCCTGGTGGCGCTATCATTAAAATGACATCGTGGAAACGGAAGGTTAGAGATTGAGATAAAGAGAAACAGAAAGCCCGCGAGAGGGGTGTTTCGGCGGCCGCGGGAGGAGGTGGGAGATAGTCGGCGAGCGAGAGCTCGACGCTCTGCCTACCGCCTCCCCTGTCACCCTCCATTTTCCTCAATTCCGCGCCACTGCATCATAAATCTCGAAAAATCGTTAATCTCGTTCGGTCCCTTTATTTTCTCATCTCTCTTCTGTAGCAATGCGTACGACCGCCGAATTGATTTTCATATTAAACGCATGACAAATTGTTGAGGTAGTTTCGCTTCGTTTCGTAACCGGGATAACGGGAGGCGAAATCGATTCCACCTCTCCTCCTCACCTCAACACGTTTGATTGAATTTTCGAGACGGTAATCTCGAAACAATTCGAATTTCGATTATTGAAATCGTAAGAGACCGGGGCGCTTGATAAATGCGACATGCGCGCAGCTACCTCGGGGTGTTCCGCCATTGGTATAGCTCGCATTTTTCCGCGTCTTTGGAGAGAGGGGATGTTTCGACAAATATCGAGCTCGCAGCTTGTGTTTACGTTGTGTTACGTCGAGTGAGGGGAATATTTTGATTCTGACGAGACACTTCGTGCGATTGCGGAGCAACGTATTTTTATTAATACGTTGGCTAATTAAATTATACGCGCTGTTAAAATTACACATTATACATTATTATTTTAAGTACCTGTGACAATTTTTATGTGCTGTGGACAACGAAAGCATTCGAATTACTAGTATAACTTTGACTTTCTACGCTATATATTTAAATAAATATACATTATAAATATACATAAATATGTACTTTTGCATCGACTGATCATTTCTACGCTGCGCGAGAAGCATCGAATTAATCTTTGTTTAGCGATACTTAAACAATTCAGTTAATTACAGAAACTCGAGGGAAAATTCGAATATTGCGACCTCTATCTGGGTCTTGTAGCACGTGCGTGTGTGTCGCGCCAGTCGCGCAGTCCTCCTCTACGTCAGTCTCATTATAGATCGTTCACCCCGTTTGTGTTGTGCGCCTAATTTGTCGACACATGCCACCCGTTTCTCCGCTGCGGAATCATCCTGTTCGGCGTTGTTTACGAGAAGCATCGACTCTATCATCCATCAACAGCAGCGCTTTTAATACCGCGATTTTTGACATTGTACAATTTTTTATTTATCTATTATTTAAATTCATTAGCACACGTTAACACGTTGACTGCCGCGTCACCCGTATTCGGGTGACAGCAAAAGTTCTCATCAGGCCACGTCACCCGTAATTCGGGTGACGCTGATTTGACTACTTACAAAGGATTTCCGAAAATATTTCGACAAATATTCTACAGTAGGTAATGAAACTATTGAATTCTTATAAAAATGGTTTATTAAAAAAATTATTCGCAGTGTATAACATTAAAACATTCTCTGCAAAGTTAAGGTTGATCAGGACAGCTTGGACAGAAAGTTGTTTGTTTTTTCAAATATGCTCGTGCCTCTGATCGGTCCATCTCGTATCTTTTATTTGAACTGTAGCTTCCTCGGTATCATCAACATTTCTTTCTTCTTCCATGACCAATTCTCGTAAAATCTCGTCAATAGTATCTTCATAACATTCATTATCACTATGATTATATTTATCAATATCCAAATCAGAATCTGACGATGTAATTTTATTTATGCTTCTCCTTCCGGGCAATCCGATCTCTTTTCATTATTGACAAAAAATAAGGGCAGAGATTTTAAGTTATACCATTTGGTACTCGGCAAAGATTCCAACTGTTCAAGCAGGAACAGAAACAGATATGAATTAACAGCGCTCGCTTCCTATAGCGGCACGGGTGGCCTGTAGGAGATTTTGTTGTAAATACGCATGGCAGTCAACGTGTTAAAGTAGATTTTTGTTAACTGCATCGACACATAACTGCTCTAGTGCTGACGCGCGCACAAAGTTTGAACTGTACGTGTTGTTAACCGTAATCTATTATCTCGCGAAATATAGGTTGCGTGACAGTAAATCGGTTTCGTGATTAAATTCAACAGCGAACCGTGGTATTTGTTCTTGCACTTCGAAGAACCGCAATCTTACGTATCTCACTTATAATTGAATTCTTTGCAATTGAATTGAAAACACCGTTTTGTTCTTGCCGTTACCTTTATATATGTAACCTTTACATGGGCATACTTCGCTTCTCCTATGTAATTGTGAATGAAAAATATTAAAGTTTAACAAGTTTAACAATACAATCGACACTTTGAATCGGAGCATAATCTCTAGTAGCATCTCGACACCGTATTATGCACTTATGACACGCTACACGTGGCTAAGGATTTAGTTTTATGCTACGACTAATAAAATTTGTGATCCTTTAAGTTTTGAATTATTGCTTTTACCTTTTAGTACTGCCTTTATCCGGGATAGTTTAAGTCTCGTTTAAGAAACATATTTTTGAATCATTATTGTGTTAAATTCATGATGCTCTAAATTAAAGTAAACGTAAAAACCCGAGCACGTGATTCATTGGTTCATAACAGGGTTTTAATGGATGCAGTAGTTTAATCTACTTACGGTCCATAAAGGATTAACTGATATTGAACCTCAGATTAGGAAATTGTACACTAAGGACTGCCGTGAATTGCAAAAATTTAATCTTGACCGAATTATCATTCGAATCTTTGCCGTTTGGAAGGTATTTCAATTCAATCTCGAATAATTTGAATTCTCCGGCGGTAGAACTCCATTTAGTACGTAACTAGTCATTAAGCCTTTCGCTGCGGATGGTCACTGTAGTGTATATTCGCGAAAGCGAGTACACGTATGAATTCCAACTATAATGCACTAATGACGCGGTTCGTTATGTGTTAGTTACCAACTTAAACCATACATGGCAGTCGCATCTATCTATGTTCGTTAACGGAATGCACATAATAAAGCTGCATTGCGCGTGTCGGCTTCTCAATTTAGGGTCTCTGATCTGTTAAACTTTTTTTTTTTTGGTAAAACTCAGAAAAATTATGGTCAAATTACTATTAGGCATCGGACTATTTTTGAAAATAATAAAACAAATAATATTAAAGGGGAAATGGTTCTTAAATATTTTTAAACTGTGCATGTGATAAACAATTTTCGTTTACTGTTTATACTATATAGATGATAGAGTTTTAATATTTTGTAATTGATGGCCTCAAGAAGGCCTTGAGGCCTTAATATTATATATTATATTATATTATATTATATTATATTATATTATATTTTACTATATTATATATACATATATATAATATTATATTAATATGATAATATATGATGAATATGTTAATA